TTCATTTAAAAAAAAATAACAATGAGTTTCATGTAATCTTAAAAAATAAATTCTTTCAAAAATTGATTTTTTCATTAATTTGTTCCTTTCCAAACAATATAACTTTTGTCTGAATTTTTTATGATAATTGCTTCGTTTTCAAGACATTCCACTGTTTTCATTAAAATATAATACATATATACATATTACATTCACGATTACATATACGTATATATAATTATATATGTATACAATATATATTCATATCTTTATTATTGGAAAATGGAACACGTGCTTTATTTTTAGCTATTAAAAATAAATATTTTTATACAAAAAGCTATTTTTATGCATATTCCTTAAAATTTAATGTAAAAATCGAATTTGTAATCATTTATTAGTTCATTTAATAGTTTAGTCATAAGTTTAAAAAAATAATTTTATAAACGGAAATGTGTATTGATAATTGATATACAGAGTAGAGTAAATGCTTTAAAATATTTTCAGGAGTATTTTCTTAAATAACATAAATTCAAAATGAAAACTTAATATGTCTGATGATTTAGTTTCAGAAATATAGATGTCAAAATTGAAAAAAAATTTCATATTTTTTCGAAAATTTTGAAAACCAGGATATTTCACTCAGATTATTTTGATGAAACTTTCAAAATAACCAAAGTAATTTTTGAATTTTTTGGAAAAAACAAATTTTTTTTAACTTTGACACTTTGTATCTTTGAAATTAACCCGTTTCAGATACATTGTCATATAAAGTTTTCGAATTTATGTGAGGAATTACTCCTTAAAATGTTTCAGTGTCTACTCTATAATATTTCCTCTTATTTACATCTAAATTTTATTCGATGATATTAAATGAGAATTTAAATCAAATGTAACATTGATTATGTTGAGTTAGATTTAAATAAAACAATGAATTTTGAAAACTGATAATTAATATAGATGTTAACATTTATTTAAATCGATAGATACGTTTCTGAATCTTATTTTAATGAAAATCATATAAACACGCATACACTATACATATCGACATAATTTCTTAAAAATCTAGGTTAACTGTCTGATATTTATTTTTAACAAAGCCTTTTAAAATTTTTATACTCGAAATAATTTTCTTTATAATAAGATAAATTAAATATTTTTTGTAATGTATTGAAGTTAAGCAAGGAATAATCATTGATGATGAAATAATGAAACATGTTTCAAATTATCTCTGTAAAAAATAACCATTATTGGAATTTCATTTTCATTTCATTAAATATATTGCCGTCATGTAATATAATGATCTCGCACTATTTATCAAAATATGACTGATAAATCAAATTCTGACAATAGAATATATCAAGAGAATTTATTAAAAAATTTGAATTAATTTTTAATAATTGTTTTATTAATTATATTAATAAAATAAAAAAATATATATGAAATGTATGATGACATGAAATAAAAAAGACATATTTTTAAGATTGCTATATATTTATATTTATTACGATAATATAAAATATTTCGAATTTATTGTTTCTCATTATTAGAGTTTATATGCAAACTTAAATTATGAAAAAAAATTGTTCTAACAGATCAAAATCAAAACATTTAAGCTTTCGAAAATTCTAACATTTTAAACATTGCGGACTAATAATAAACGAACTACTTTGATCTTATGACTTGCAATAGATATAAATACAAATATTCACAGTAGAGCAAGGAAAATTGTAGCGAAAATTAGTTTTAATTAAAAATGAGAAGAATCAATTTTTGCTTCTTTTTTTTGTATTTTGTGTGTGTGTGTGTGTGTGTGTGTGTGTGTGTGTGTGTGTGTGTGTGCTTATAATATTACATTGCTATTGTATCTAAATTCTGTATCAAATTGTATTTTAAATATATAGTCCTCGTACTTGAATGATCTGAACAATTTCTGGTTCGAGCTTTACATTCGCATTACTAGAAGTGTTCAATAATTACAAAATTGTGAGCAATACTTATTATTATATAAAATAATACGAATAAATGAAAATACACACTTGTTTATTAATAATAAAATAGATAAACTTTATTACATTTTTTAATGTAAAAATGTCATATATTTTTTATGATAACTAAAATTTTGGTATATAGCACTAATTAAACATATTAATTATATTTAAAGATATCTTATTAATTACTTTTATGATTATACTAACACCGCACGCATGGTGTCGGTTCTTTTTGTGAATGATATATAAGTAGTTGTATATTTATTTTAATATAAACTGGAAAAAATGAAAATATTACGTCACACGTTCGTAATCTTTAATTATAAGCGAATACTACGTCATCACTGAAAGTTGAAACTATTAACTGCGTTAATATTGCGTTAATATAATTAAACCTCTCTAGTTTTTCAAATAACATTTAAGTGCTTTTTACATCAAACATATATTTGCATTTTTAAAAATTATGTAGACTTGATTCAATGATTGCTTGTTAATCATAAAAAAATTAATGATATATTAACAGAAAGCAAAATCATCTTAAATTTGTAAAATTCTTTGTAAAATCTCTTTTCGATATATTCAGCTTTCTGGGTTTCACTTAAACAAGCAAATCAAGCACTTTTTTTTTAGAGAAGTGCAAATTAAGCAGAATTTTTTAAGCTGAGTCTAATCGAATCGAATTTTATTTCTTTATTCGAATCTGAACTGAACCGAATTGAGAAAATTTTATCTTCAACCAAATCGAATCGTTGAAATGCCACTTTTAATTAACAACATAATTATTGCTAGTTTGAATTTCAATATGTAGGTAATAAAAAAGTTTTATATCCATTTGACTTATTAGCGGAAGATATGATTTTATATAAGATATAAGTTATGTAAGTTATATAAGGTAATGATTTTATGTAAGATATATAAGATATAGATTTTTTATATAAGATATGTGTGATTTGCATTCGCGAATCTCTTAGATTCGAAATTTTTGAATAGTTTATATTTGAATCATAGAAATTCAAGTCCAAATCGAATCGAATCTTACCCGATTCAGTTCGATTCAGATTCGAATAGTTTTTAGTTTTATTAATAGTTTGTCATACAAGATTATATGGACGATTACTCTCGATAAAAATTTTTTAAATAATTATATTATTATATTATTATTATTATTTTGTTATTGTGAATAATTATATTTTCATGCTATTATAAAGTAAAAGATTATAAAGCATGATTCTCAAACTTTTTATTATCATAAAATTGATTTAAAAAACATGGGCATTAAGTAGGTATATCTACTGAAATTAGAGCAATGTAATAATATTGGATCATTTAAAAAGTATCTGCGGTTTTTTCATTCAAAAATTGAACAAAAAAAACCGCGGATACTTTTTAAATGACTTAATACTTACAAATAAAAAAAATCTACTCAAAAGATATAGAAATTAAACATGAATAGAAATTTTATATTTGAAGCAATAATATGAGTAATCGTTCACATGATTACTACAATAATTGTTTTTACAATCGACGTTGTATATTATTCTAATTAGCAATTAGATCCTAATAGCTAAGAATATTACAGTCTAAACTTTAGAAAGATCCTGTTAATATTTGCTTGCAGGTATAGATAATGTATATTATATTTTCATGATACGCCTGAAATTTATCAAACTTTAATATACTAAAGCTCTAATTATTTTTAATTTATTTTAAGATTTAAAAAAAGTTTTAAAATATTTTATAATAAAATTTACTGTTTAGATAAATGATGTTTATTAAGTTAATCTGATTCCTTATTATAGTCCGGTCCTTTTATAATATTAGATCCTGCTATAATATTAGATTATAGAAATGAGAAATTGATAAATATGGAGTATGCCCCGATGACCTTGACTTTGACATATGTTTTCAAGGTCATGACTCTGAGTATTCTCCAACAAGTTTTAGCCATCACTCGTTTAGCCATTATTCGTTAAAAAATTATTAACAAGAAAAGTTTTGCTGTATAAAACAAAAATTCTCGTAATAGATCTCCTAATGTGAATAGTCGTTAACTTCGACGATTGATATTTCGGTTCGCAGAGCAGAGCGACGCTTTTTTTCTACCAGATTCTTTCATATCATGCAAAAACGCATCGAATAAATCTAATTTTATATAGTTTTACGTAATATTACAGTTTATAATATTACATATTATAGTTTTACGTAATATATTAGGTGTAGTAAAAAGAAATCCATTATTTTTCCAATAGATGGCTTTAGTAATCTGTATCTCGTCTACGCGTGATCTGCATCATATGAAAGCCATCTATTGGAAAAATAATGGATTTCTTTTTACTACACCTAATATAATACAGGGTGGGCCATCTATTGGTACGTTTTTGAATTTCGTCGTATGGCAACACCGAACGAGCTACAGACCCGAAATTTTGACAGTTTATTAGTCATACCGTCCGCGGCACGAAACAACATGTTTTCTCTTGAAGAGCGTTTTGAAATTTTAAAAACTTATTTTCAAAGTCAGTGCTGTGTCGCCGAAACTGTACGAATTTTGAAAAGAAATATGGGTCGTGATAGAGCACCCACCGAAGGAGCTATACGCAAATTGGTGAGGAAAGTTCGTGAGAAAGGGATGTTAGTGGATGACAGAAGTGGTCCCAGAGCTCGGACAGTGCGCACACCCGAGAATATTGAGGCTGTGGCCCAAAGTGTGAGACAATTCCAGCTTTGAAAAACAATATTACGACTGTTTTGAGTGAAATTGGCGCCGAGGTAGTCCAAAATGTCATTAATAATTGGGGTGACCGAATGGCATACTGTAAGGCCAGTAGAGGGAGCCACATGAACGAAATCGTTTTTCATTCTTGACGCGGATACTTTTAGCTTCACAACAAAAAAAAAATTAATAAAAAATATCAATGTATGCTCATTTGATCGCATTTTTAAAAACGTACCAATAGATGGCCCACCCTGTAGTTTAATTTGTGGATGTAGCACAGACTTGCACCACATCAATCTTCGATATTTTCTGTGCTGCTTTGTGCTATTTTATCGACAGGATTAGAACAAAAAATGGATGCTGGCGCTAGTGTGCTTGTAGTATTTATTATTTCATACAGACAGATTTCCTAACCTGAATTTCTGAATAGTTGTCAATTTTACCGATTAATATTTCGCTTTGTGGAGCAGAGCGACATTTTTTTCTATCAGATTTTTTCATGCAAAAACTCGACGAGTGTGTCTAATTTCATCAATATTGGAGAAGAAAGAATTGAAGTATTCACTGTTTCATGGAAAAACGCATCGAATAAACTTAATTTCATCAACATTGCAAAAAAAAGGACTAAAGTAAACATTTATCAAATATTTTAGACTGATCTTATTTCAGCATTGAAAAGATATCGAATCATTACTTTTTAAATAATGGCAAAATTAATTTTACAACGAATCGATAGTCAGAAATTTTAAGATTTTTATCAATCTTAATCTGAACAAATGACTATAATTTTTTGCATCTACAAGTTGTTAATTGTATAGTAAACGTTTAGCTCAACTAATGAGAAAGAATAAAGTCAAATTTGGTCAGTCTTAAGAAAATCATTAGTTTTAATTGTACAAGTTGATTGTTGGCGACTACTGACTCATTGTAGAATTAACATATCAAGTTATTCTTGAGGACCAATAAACAGTAATTAGTTATATACTTTTTTGACTCGGTAACGAGTAATGGTAACTTATTACTTTTAAAAAGTAACTTTTCTCACAGTTAATAATTTTTCCACAATTTCTTTAAGTAGAAAGAGACTCAATAAATATATTTTATTAAAATGTAAGTAAAAATCAGTAAACTAAACATTTATTGAATACAGAATCAAAGGGACATATGTCAAAAAATTTGAACAATAATTTCAAGATATATAAATAAAAAAAGAATTATAAAATGGTGATATATGGTGTTTATATTGTATCTAAATCTGGTGGTTTGATTTTCAATCATGATCACAATGTCCCGAAAATTGAGGTCGAGAAATCCTTTAATTTTCCACTCAATATTAAATTAAACTATGAGAATAAAAAGGTAGTGGTAGCTTTTGGACAAAAAGATGGAATACATGGTAAGAATATTATCTATTGTAATAAAAAATCATTTTGGAATTATAAAATGAAAGAAAAATAAAGGCTTTAAACTTTACAATGTTAATTTATATGTTCAAATAATAAAAAAGTTTATATATACACGTAAAGTTTATATATATATATAAAATTTTAAATGATTTCGAATATACTGTATATCTTAATGATATAAAACATTTCTTTTTTTTTTTATGGAAACTATAACAATTATAGACAAAAGCTGTAGTTTTAGAACTTAATGTTTCCGATGTTTTAAACAAATTTTTTTTAATGATCAATGTACAGTAACGAAACAAAATTGGTTATTATTTTTCTTTCACATTGGGTATTCTTATAATGTGTCACTAAATATTTTAATAAAAAACAGGAATAAATATAAGAGAGAATCAAATATTTTTCAGTGGGACATGTATTAACAGCTGCAAATGGAATTGCAATCACAGGACGTGAGCTTGAAGATGGAAGAGACATTCTAGAAATGTTGGAGCAACCAGAAAATTTCCCTATAACATTGAAATTTAGTCGAGCAAAAATGACGACAAATGAGAAGATATTTTTAGCTTCAATGTTTTATCCTCTTTTTGCAATAGCAAGCCAATTGAGTCCAGAACCACGAAGTTCTGGGATTGAGATTCTCGAAGCGGATACATTTCGTTTATATTGTTATCAAACATTGACAGGTATTAAATTCATGATAGTAGCAGAGCCGTCACAACCAGGAATGGAAATTTTTTTAAAGAGAGTATATGATTTGTATGCGGATTATGCATTAAAAAATCCATTTTATGCATTAGAAATGCCTATTCGATGTGAATTATTCGAAACTAATTTACAGACATTGTTAGAAACTGTAGAAAAATCTGGAATAAGCAATGTTTAATATTTACGTGTTAATTAATTTAAAATAATTTAAAATAATTAAAGTATACATATAAGATTGTAATGGCTCCATCATTTTTTCACTTTTATGAAAATGCGATAAACTGAATAATTCTCGCGCCAATTTAAATATTGGCTACATAATTGAATTTATGGGTTTTTTTCCATCTAGTCTGACATCAATTCTATTGTTTTATGGAAAGTATTTCTAAAATCATACGCGTTAATAATGACTCATAAGGGGTTCGAGTTTATGATATAATAATAATGTAACTGTTATTAATATATTTATCAATTCTTGTTTTATTCGTTACATCCTTTGCATATATTTATCTCAGTTAATATATGTTAATTTACTTTTGTTTATATTATCTATGTATATTATATATTATTTATATTATCTACATATATCAACATTTCTAATATTTTCATTTTTAAAATAGTTGAAAAGTATAAACGTTCTTAACGAATCTTTGTTCATGGCACTTTATTCCATTGCTGTTTTAAATCAGGCTCTATAATCTGCAAAATAAAAAGTTAAAGTATCTTAATATATGTAAGAACAAGGACGGAAAGTTAAATTAAAAACTTAATCGTAATACCTTCATTGTTAAATTATCTATGCAAGCATTACGTATATGTGCAACAGTTGCAGGGGCATCAAATCTAAAATATTTATGAATATTCATATCTTTACGCGCAGCCTTAATTGCCTCCTTAATAGCAAAGAACGCAGATGACGCCAGAAATAACGGTGGCTCACCAACAGCCTGTTATATTCAAATTATTTCTTAATATGATAAGAAAAATATAACAAGTATATAATATTATTTTATAGTATATTGCCATCTTATTTCTTTTCTTTGAAATTAATGCATGCTATATAAAAACGAAAAATTACGTAAAGAAAAAATGAAATTACGTAAGAAAAAATTATACCTTGGAAGAATATACTGCTCTTGGATTGGAAACTCCTTTTAATAAGGAAACATTAAATTGTTTAGGTATGTCAGTGAAGCCCGGTAATTTATACGCGCCAGGTCCTCTACTAAGTAAAGCTCCCGTTGGTGAATAAATCATTTCCTCTAATGTAAATAAACCGTATCCTTGAACGAAGGCACCTTCAACTTGTCCTATGTCAATGGCTGGATTTAAACTTTCTCCTAGATCCATAACAATGTCTGTCCGTAAAACCTATACCGATTGAAAAATATCAATATTTTATAATATCCTCATGCTTCTCTATAACATATTTTGAAATTTATAAAGTTATTATGAGTGTCGTTTGTATATTCCTAATATAAAATCTGTGATAAAAATTATGATATTGATGTTTTAAAGAAATACATTTTAATCTTGTAAATTATTAATTTAAAATTTAAATTATTAATAATACTTTTTCGTACGGAATAATGTCATGAATTAAGTGTAAAAGAATATATAATTGCTAAGGTATTAATTGCATATCGAAAATAATTATACACATAATAAGATGTACCTCATGATCACCAGTAAGACAATCGATTTCCACCTCTGTACAAGCAACGCCATACGTAAAATAATTAAAGGGATTCCCTGTATTAGTTTCAAAAGAATATCCAATATTGGGGGTTTGATAGAAACCGGTAGCGGACAGACTTATCCTTTGAAAGTATGCTGCTTTTATCCATTCTTCCCAAGTACCTTTTGGATCGCTGTTAATTATCGGTTGTAAACGGTTCATGATTTTCTGACACGCATTCTGAAAATTAATTTCTACAGTTGTTTAATCGACTTTTATTTGCATATCATAAGTATTATATGTAAAATATTATTACACACCATAATAGCCATGCCATTGAGATCAGATCCACAACTTGCTGCAGTCGCAGATGTATTGGGAACTTTATCAGTAGCCGTTTCAACTATATGTATCATAGCTGGATTTATCCTTAAGATTCTGCTAGCAATCTGACATAATATAAAGAATTTAACTTAACTTCATTTTCTTAATTTCTATAGAGATTGCAATTAATTGCAATTTACATTATGATTTATAAACGCAAATTTTATTTAAAAATTTGGTAAATATTTATACATATAGGGAGATATAAGTGAATATTCATACTTGAATCATTTTTGTGTTTAGACCTTGTCCCATCTCAATGCCACTGTGACTGAGTAGCACTGATCCATCAATATATACATGCACTAATGCACCCGCTTGATTTAAGAATAATGCAGTAAATGCTATACCGAACTTTGTAGGTACAATCGCGAGTCCTTTTTTCTTAAATCGATTCTCTCTATAAAATTATTCATAATTGACTTTAATAATTTGTAATTTAGTTTGCAATTTAATTTATATATGACGCAGACGAATTACTTGCCTATTGTATCGTTGAATCTCGATTATTCTTTCATTATATTGGGAAGATGCTAGACATTCACGCCAGCAGCGATCTAAAGTACAATTTATCAGTTGTTGGTTGTAATGCGTTAAATCACCTTCCTTATATAAATTTAATTCGGATAACTGTTGTAAAAAAATTTTTCAATTATTAAATTAATTTCTATCTGCTTGCAATATATAAACTGAATGTAGATGTACAATTTTATACATGATAGACTGAAATACATGGTGTAGGTGGTGAAAAAGATAGAGAAAAGGAGAGAGAGTGATTTAACGGCTCAAAATAAATTGAAATAATAAAACATATTTTTTTTTAGAATGTAACTTTGCGATTAATTAAATTCTTTTTCGAGAAAATTGTATCAATGTTTATCGACCAATCTTGTATAATCAATTTTATAAAAATAGAAAATTATTTCGTTGCATATATAACTTATAATATCAAAAATTACCTTAACGACATCTAGATTCAGATACTCAGCGATTTGTCGAATGATAGTTTCAGCTAAAAACATCCCTTGTGGTCCACCAAAACCTCGAAAAGCTGTGTTCGATGGTAAATTTGTTTTACACACATAGCCATATACTTCTGACACTGGGATTTTATACGAATTTTCAAAATGAAACATGGCCCGTTCCAATACCTAGAAATATTAGAAAAAAATTCATGCTTTTTATGCGCGTGTACATGGCATTATTATATATAAAATTTTTAATAAAAAGACTAATTTTCTCAATTTACACCTTATTACTCACCGATATTGATAAATCGTGAGAATAACCTGCATTATTATATATGTGTACTTTTGCAACTTTCATTAGACCATTATTATTAAATCCAACTTTGTATTTAAATAAAAATGGATGTCGTGTTCCAGTTATCATCATGTCTTCGTCTCTATCTAACATGCAACGAACTGGTTTCTGCAATCTATATTAAAATATTTAGATAATACAAATTGACAAATCAATATATGTAATATGTATACAGTATATATGTATACAGTGAATATGTATATGTACACAAATATTCTCTTTATTATATACATAATCTGTATATGATTTCAATCAATAAATTTTTATACACACCTATGTGCTGCCAGGGCCACTGGTATCGCGAGTATCGCCGCACGAGATTCTTTTCCACCGAAGCCACCTCCTAAGCGCTTTACACTAACTTTAACTCTGTTTATGTGTATATTTAAGACATGAGCGATTAATTTCTGTACTTCAGTAGGATGTTGCGTTGAACAAAATACTTCTAATTCATTTTCTTCACGAGGCACGACAATAACAGCGTTTGTTTCCAAATAGAAATGTTCTTGACCACCTATACGTACTTCTCCTTCTAAAATATGATCAGCTTCTGCAAAAGCTTTATCTGCATCGCCTTTAATAATACGCTTGGGAAATCCAGGGAAGAACGATTTATGCGTGATAGCGTCCTAAAAAAAATATTGGTACATTTAGATATATGTTATACAGTTGAAAAAATAATTTAAGAAAGAAAAAGTAATCATTTTTTATGTATATATAGGGTGTCCCTAAATTCGCGCTCACGGAATACAAAACATTCAGTAAAGATACTAATACAGCTAATTAAATAAGTACGTAACCCTTGAACGCTTAAAAACCCAGCAAACGAGAATGGATTGAAATAAATTGAAATGGATTCAGATTTTCAGAAATATTGATTCACAAATGTTAAAATGAATGCTTTTCAATCCTGAATGCATTTTTATTCATTTATAGGAATTGCATGGAGCATATCTCTATGCCTTTCAATCTAAAAATAATATTAGTTTTTTCTGTGCACACACAACACATTGTGAATACTGTTCAATTCAAAATTTTGAATAAGAAATGCGATTTTTCAATCCAATTGCTTCCAATTGAATCTAATTGAATTAAAATCTAAAAAAAAGTATTTGCTATTTTTAAAATACACATTCGGATAGAAAAAAATTTCAATCCATTTTAATCCATTCTCGTTCGTGGGAATGATGTTTTGTATAACAGCGATTAAAATAATAATAATAATAATAAGAGAACAGAGCGATCGCAATATTATTTCAAACTTTATTCACAATTTATTTCGTGACGAACAAATAAAATTGTTACATTACATATCATATAATTCTTTATACTGATTACTGAATATTCTTAATTAAATGAAGCAATTTTTAAGTATCGTCAATTGTAATTTACTGAAGAAGACCTAATTGCAGATCAAAACATTTAAATTAATATCATATGCAATAAATTAATTTACATATAACAATCAGTGTTGGCTCTTAAGGTGTTTTTAATTTTTAATCTTGATTTATTTTGTTAGGACCTAGATAAATTTTAAGTTGTTTAACGCATATAATTATTGTGTTTTAATTATTATTCTTTCTCGTTATTAGTATAAATACCTCAATAGATATGATAACAGGTTCTAAATCTTCATATTCTATTTTAACCATATTTGCTGCAGCTTGAGCAGTAATTTGATCGATAGCAACAATCGCACCAATTATTTGTCCTTGACTGGTAACCTAAAGAAAAAGACTAATAAATTTTTAATTTCTTTCAAGGAATTATTGTAAGGTAGCAAACTTTCCGCCTACCACGACAAAGTCATATTTTCAATTC